TGCCAAAATTATCCAAATTAACCTTTTTTATTTTATTAACCGTTTAAACTCTAACACCATCTATTAATTTTAAACTAATAAATAAAATTTTTTATCAAATATCTTATTTATAATAATTTTAAAATATATATTTATCAAAACACTTGCTCTTAACAATGTAATCAAAATTAAATCAAAATTACTACCCTTACCAATTTAGTCAAAATTACTAACAGTTTCCATAAGGAGAAGTGCTAGGGAGCAAGGACAGTCGTAAAATGTTATAGTCGGTTCCGTTTCCTTTCTCATCCTTTCTGCCCATGCTTTCTACTCTCTCCTTGTCTTTCTTCTCTTAACCGTCGTCTCATCCTTCTTTTAATTCCTCTTCGTCAGAAAATAGATCAAATCCGCTTCTTACTCTTCTGCTTTTTATTTCCATCCTCATAACTTGTTAACCATTCTTTAGTTTTTTTTTTTTTTATTCCTCAGTTCTACGTTTGTTGCTTGTGAACGGTGAAGGGATGAGTGACAAGGGCTTTCTTAATCTCAATCGTGGTGGGTGATACTTCTGAAAGTGTGTGTTGTTTTTTGTGCGAGTATGGATTATCATTTCTTGATTTCTTTGCTGGGTTTTGTTTATTTAAGCTTGATTTGGGAGTTTTTTTATTTTGGTCAAGTTGGAAATTTTTTTTTTTTTGGTTTAAGAATAATGAACTTGGATTTTGTTAAATTTGTTCCCTGTTTTATGTTTGGGGAAATGGGATTTGAAGGTTAATGACCTTGTGAAATCCTTAGTTAGTGCCTTGAATTCTGCATAAATACAGTTTAAACATAACAAAAATTTGAAAAGAGTGAACTTGCATCATCTTTGATTGATCTTGTGGAGGTGCAAGATTTTGGAGAAGAGTTGAAGCAACAAAAGTGCTGGAGGAGATGAGAGAGCAGCAAAACTGAGGATGAGAGAGTGCACAGGGCAAAGACACCACCTCTTCCATAAATCGTTATAGGAGTACTAAAAGGTCAATTCAACTTTCTCTCTCCGCGCTCTTTTACGATTGAAAAAAAGGCAAAAGTCCTTTTTAAGCCCCCAAACTTACCTCAAAATAACATTGAAGCCCTCAAACTAAAAACAAAGCAAATAAACCCTCCAACTCTACTAATGATGCAAATAAGCCCTTCTCACTAACAGGCCAAATGGTGAGATTCACGGTGGACTAACTTTGTTTCTTTTTTGGACTCCCATTAATCCCCGTAGACATATATATGCTAACGTGGCACACAGAGAAGAAGAGAGACCTTGAGATTGGTAAGAGTTGCAGCTAGGGGTAGGTATTGGTTGGATTCGGTTGGAACCGAACCTGAATTGACAATTTTAATTGGTTGATTATTTTGTAAAATAACAATAAAAAACCGAACCAAAAATATTTCGATTATTTGGTTCGATCACCAAATTAATCGATTTGGTTGACATCGGTCTCGATTTTGACCCATTCTAACCAATGTTTTGAAAATCGGACCGGATCGATCGGTCGAACCAGTTGAACCGATACCTAGTAGTACAAATGGTTCAATTGTATTTGTAATACCCCAAAATTTTGTGATATTTTAGCATGAAGTTAAGGACTAAATTGTGGAAAAATATTATTTTGGGCTTAATAGCCAAAATTTCCAAACTTGAGGGACTTAAAGAGGGAAAGAAATTGGATAAGGATTGGCTGGCATTTTTTTCTTCTTTTTTCTTCCTCACCCGCGCATCTGCTCTTCTTTTCTTCCCCCTGCACCGAGCAAGGAAGCCAGCCACCGACGCGCCTCTTCCTCTTGAAAAAATCGGTAAGAAGCTTGTGTTTTTCTCCTCTTTTCTTGTTCAAAAACCAGATTTGGAGCCTTGAAACCTTCCCCCCTCTCTGCAGAATCCCAAATCTGCTCTGCTCTGTCTTCACTTCCGGTTGCTGCTCCTGCTTTGTGGGGTGCGAATTGCTCGGGTTTTTGGTAAGAAACAGCTCGAAATTCCCCTTTTCTCACTTGATTTGGCTTGGGTTTACTTTAATTCCTCTTGGTTCTCCCAATTTTTGGTAGATTGCGTGAATTCCCCCTGCAGATCCCGCAGGCCTCTTCCCCCAACTGCAGTCCGGTTTTAGCTGGAAAATTCTGGTATGGACAGCCCTTTAAGCCTAAAATTATTCATTTAATTTTCTGCCTTGTGATGTCCGAAAATCTACTGAAAATGGGGATGAATTTCGGTAGCTTTAGGACAAAATTAAGCATTAATTCAAGTGGGATTTATGTGATTGAGTGTTAATTGACTGTTGTGAGTATTTGGAGAAAAATCCCGTGAATTAGCTAGTGTTTTGGCCAATTTCTGGAAGTGCAGTTACTGTTCACGGGTACTGTTCACGGGTACTGTTCACGCACTGATGGCCGACAATTAACGGGGATTTAAATGATTAGTTTGTAATATAAAAATAAATTTGGAAACTAATAGAAATAATATCGTGATTAGGGGTAGTCCTAATGATGACTTCAATTTGAATTTGTGGTAATGCGGTAATTAATTCTCGGATATTTTGATTAGGTTCCTGATCGTTCTGTCAGTTTAGCACTGAGATCGAGTCTTCGGTTTTATGCAATTTGAGGCAAGTAAATTATGGTAACGGTCTCCGATTTTAAAGCATGTTTTAACTTGTTTTTGAAGTGGTGGCGGGACTAAACCCGTTTTACACAAGTATGATCGATTTTAAATGAAATTAATA